CTGCCTAGCGTGACAGAAGGGATTGGTGCTACCTACCATGCTGAGAGGGCATGAGGGTTGCTTGTAGTCTCAACGACGGTCAGTGTTCAAGAACCAAGTAAAGGAAGAAGGACGCAGCAAATATTCGTTTCTATATTATAGGTTCTACAATAGACAAGTTTATACATAACACAATATTATTGATAGTAACATTTAGAGCAATTCTAAATAAACTAACTGCATGAGTTCACCTGCCCACAGCTACGTTAGGCATAATTGACGTAATCGAAAAGAAATAATTAGAGGATGGTGCCTTAACTATATTTTAATTATTTCCGTTTTATAGTCATCGTTGTCGGCGCGCTGCGGTGGTCGATTGACGTCTTGGGTACTCGTGCAAAGCGGTACTCTACTGTTATCTGCCATCGGTACTCTGCGGATACTATGACACGTATAAGGGCTCTTTGCGCAATATTCACAGATTAAGCTACACGACGTAACGCATATATTATTACTTGTTTAACCAGCGTAAGTTACTCATGCAGTTAGGTTATAACGACAATTGATATATTTTACACATGGTAGAGCTTCATATTCTGTTTATAATATTTTATGATTACAGTGAGTGTGCAATTTTCTCCCACAGTTCTAAGTACTTTTTCATTTATTTTCCGCTCTATACGACTTATCCTTTCCATACGCCTCCAGCACCACATCTCGAAGGCTTCTAGTTTTTTCTTTTCGATATCATTTATTACCCAAGTTTCACATCCATATGTTGCAATACTTCATACATATGTGTTTTATAAGTCTCTTCTTGATATTGAGATGTAGCTTAAGCTTTTTAAGTGAGCTACTTATGTTTTTTACTAAATTTAGTTTTTGCTAATGCTATACGTTGTTTTAGCTCGCGGACGCTTTTACCATCTGATGTGATTTTGCACCCTAGGTATACGATTTCCTTTACTTGCTCCAATTTTTGACTATCTATGTACACATCATCTTTTACTTTCGGGTCTCTGGCACAGTCTAAAATCTTCGTTTTTGCACTATTTATTTACATTTCTGATGTTCTGAGCATTTCATCCATTTCTTCAACTGCACGCTGTATATCACCTTTACTCTCTACTATTAGCACAATGTCATCGGCAAATCGTATCATTGAAGCAATTTCTCCAGCAATTTTGATTCCAATATTTAGTCTTGTTAACTTTGCTTTCACTATATCTATAACTTTTTCGATGTAGCAGTTAAAAAGTGATGGTAATAACGTATACCCTAGTCGGACTCTTTTTTTTTATTTGAGAGTTGTGATTTCTCCTTTTTTAATGCAAGCGGTCTGATTTTTGTAAAGATTGTGGATGATTCTTAGGTCTTGTTGTTCAACACCTAATTCTCGTAGTGTGAGCAGCATTTTGTTCCAATTTACTTTGTCGAAGGCCTTTTCCAGGTCTATGAAGGCCAAGTATGTAACTTTATTTTTATCAATCTGTTTTTCAATTAGCACTCGCAGTCCTAAAATTGCTTCTAGTGTACCTTTTTGTCTTCTAAACCCATATTGGTCATTTTTTAAGTACTGCTCCACTTTTCTTTCTATTCATCGATTTATTATTTTTTTAAGATTTTTGATACACGTGTCAGTAGACTAACTGTTCTAAACTATTCACAAGAATTTGCTCCACTTTTCTTTGGTATATTTACAATTATGCTTTTACAGTAATCATCCGGCAAATCTTTTTTTTCATATATATCCCGAGTTAGATGGTATAAAGCGTTCTTTATCTTCGTACTAGCTCATTGCAATAATTCTGTTGTGATATTATCAATCCCAGACGCTTTATTTTGTTTCAAGTCATAAAGCGCTAATTCAAATTGTGATCTTAAAATGGCTAGCCTCGTTTCTTCTTCATTTGTTATAATTTCCTCCAGTTATTTTCCCTCATAAAGCTCTTCAATATACTCTTTCCAACGTTTTATTATAATCTCATCATTAACTAATAATTGGCCATTTTTATCTGTTATTAGTGCAATTTCGTTCTCTTTCTCACAAATTGTTGGATCGTGTGATACACATAGTCGATTTTGTTAACTTTGAATAGTTTATCAATTTCGTCACACTGATGTTCCAATTATTTTTCTTTGGCTATTCTGTTTTCTCGATTAACCTGGTTCCTTAATTATCGATACTTTTGTTGTCTTTCTCTCGTGTAATTATTTTTATATTTTTGTCTTTCATTTATATGTTTTACTATTTCCTTGACAATCCATATTCTTCTTGGTTCTTTCTTTTCTTTTTTTGTCAATACTGTCACCGCCACTTTTTTGATAGTTGATTTTATGTTCTCCCATTTTTGATTCAAAGGATCCTTTGATCCTACGTTTCCTTTATGGTATTCATGTGGTATCTATATTATTCTACAACCTCTTTTTTAAGTAATCTGACACTATATTTGTCTTGCTTTACTTTTGGTCTTTGTGGTTTTTTATACCTAAGTTCGCAATTCGCTATTACTAGATTGTGATCACTGTCACAATCAGCACTTGGGTATGCTTTACAGAATTTAACTTGGTTCTTAAATCGATTATTCACCAGTATGTAATCTATTTGGTAGCAAGCAATATCGCCTGGCATTTTCCATGTATATATTCTTCTCTTAGGGTTTTGAAATCTGGTGTTCGTTATAACCATCCCATTTTTTCTGCAAACTCTACTACTCTCTCGCTTCTTGTATTTCTCAAGAAAATTATCAATAACCAAAAAAAAAACCTTCCTTATAATATTATACATTATTACATCGCTTGATAAAATATTTACATGACTTAGAAAATGGGGAGGGCACGTGCCCCATGTGTCCCCTCCTCTAAATTCGCCAGTGCAAGTAATGTACTTTATACTAGTATTAACACAAACTTTTGTGAAGTTTTAATTTTAAAATTAATTATATTTAATATTACATTCTTCATTAATGGAATTATGCTACATTTATCAAAACAGACTTGATCATTTTCCTATAACACCAATCTCGCCAATACGTCATATATCGAAACTATTCATGATATTTTAAGACTATAACTTCAGATGATAATTTAATATTGGTACTTAGACAGCTTTAATCAATTTTTCACCTTTTAAATTGCACAAATCAATTTACAAGGAAATAACAAATTGCTTATTGCAAACTAGGATTTCAAGTTAAATAAAAGATAAATGGTTGTAATTTAGATAACAATCTAATTACTAATTACTAATTTATTCATTTTTAATAAAAATTTAATAAATTTACATAACCTCAATAGATTTTAAAGTTTTTATATAATTTATAAATTAAGTAGATATATCATTGTTCAAAACATTTGATAAGTAATTATGTTTAGTCCAAAAAATACTAGAAAAAATTTAAGGTCTTCAGTAATAATAATATATCATAATATTTAATTAAAATGACAGTTGACATCGTGTAAGTATGTTAGGTAACCAAACCATTTTTTACATGTTACAATGTAAATCATACTGCATTTTATTATTATATATAGAATGTTTTCAATTGTTTGCTTCGTGTTTAGTTAAGTTTATCCCAGTTAATAATATGACTGATATGTATAATATTAAGTATTTCAAGTTGAAATAACATCTAATCATTCCAAATGTTTAAAATAATAAAATTTAAGAATGTTTCGTTTTAGTTTGGAACTTTGTTTATTTTCATCGAAGATTTTATAATAAAATAAAATTAAGTTCAAATGATCCAATTGAGATTTTATTCAATTCAGTTGCACTTGCCCTTTTAAATTTGACTTTAAGACAGATTTATTAAAATTAAGTGTTTATCCTTTTAAAAATGCTTTCATTAGTTCTCTGAATACATAATTAGTCCATTGCATTATTATCGTCTTCATATTTATGTAGAATTATTTTTGAAGCTCTTAAGCTTAATTATTTGGCACATCGTAAACACGGAAATTAACTAGTTTAAAAAAGTAAACATTTTCGCTGATATTGTATAACATTTTTTCTAGTATTTAATAACTTTGGACACATCAACAACAAACTTTTAACGTATAATTAGAAATTGATAAGGTAAACTTTATTTTAAATGAACACGTATCTCATTGAATGAGATAGGTGTTTAGATATTTCATTTAGTCTATTAATAAAACAATTACAGATAAAAAAAAATTATCATTTATTTTTAATAGATTTTTTTTGCTATAATGAATAATAAAATTAATACATAGGAAATATTTTTTTAGTTGGCGTAATGTTTGAGATTCTTGTTAATCATTGCCATTCCTTATAGGGTAGAACAAACTGAAAATCTACCCATCTCAAATATTTGTTGGTTTTTTAAAAATTAAAATCCTACAATGTATATCTATATAATATCTCATTCAGCTAAAAAACTTCAGTTAACCTCAATAACATGCTTCGCCTGTAATACTTAGTTATGTAAGAGAAAAAAATGCAATTTAGCAATTAAATAATAATTTATGTAAAATTTAAAAAAAATGTTTATGAAAACATAAAAACTTGAGATAGTTTTATAATCATTGTATTTTTTTAGCAAGCAAAAAATATTTAATTTTATGCAGGTGGGTATTTAGAATTATTAAGGAGGGAAGCAAGCAAAAAAAATTGTTTTTTTTTATAATGAATACTACTTTTGATAACTTATTTATATCCTAATTTTCAAAAGTAGTATTTTCAGTAAATAGTTAAGTCATTACATGAATTTTGGTGGAGACGCCTTTTTAACTCTCATTAATACGCCTATCATTCAATGAATAATTCATAACAAAGTAACAATAATTACTCTATAATGAATATTAGTTACCTATTTGCTTTGGCTGTTAAAGAAAATCTATTTCAGTGTTCATCGAATTAAAAGATATTTGTTTGAATTATTATCACTTCTTAACAGTTTATACATACAAAATATTCTTATTTATTCCATAATTTAAACACTAAACTTGTTTTTTGGAACAAAAAAATGAATAAAATATAATAAACTATTATAAAACAATTTCAGTAATTTCATTTTATTTATACAAAGTGATAAAATATAATACAAAGACAATACCTAGAAGAATGAAAATTTAAGTTGAGCACCAAATAAATATTGTTCTCAACTTAAAAAATATTAGTTATCACAGTTTTATTACTTACAATAGAATTTAGTCACATCATCTTTGGAATTTAAAAAACATAATATACAATGGTCATAAAATTATTTTCAGTCATTTCACCTATAAAAATATTAACTTATTTCACTGTTTGATATACAAATTTCACTCATATAAACAAAGAACAATATATATTTCAAATAGTAATTAATTTTTCCAATAAAAAAAATAGATTAATCTATTAAATAACATATAGGATGAGTTAAACAAAATAACTTATATAAAAATGATTATTGTGTGCTACCATATTTTATATAAAATTCTAGTTTATACTAAACAGTAACTTTTAGGTATTAAAAATTTTTAAATATTTAAAATACAATTTTTTAAGCTATATAAATAAAATATATAATCCATAATACTTAAAACAATAATATAATTTATTTTAAAATTTTTTTATAAAGTTAACAAACAACAATTTAGTAAAAATTACAAGAAAATATAGGTTTAGTTTTTTAATAAAATAGAAAAAATTTAATTAAAATAATAATAAAATTAATTTTATAAAAAAATATAAATAAATAAAAATACTTACATAATTAACGATAAGCTAGTTTACCATATTTAACTTTAAATTTTTCTTGCGGATTGAAATATTCATTATAAATCAATTTTATCAAGAAAAGATGAAAAACAATAATTAAAAATCCAATTGCCACCCAGAAAAAGGTAGGTAGTCCTCCTAAGTGATGGCCATGTTTGTGTAATGCAATAACATGATGTTCATGTGCTGGAGCTAAATAATTATGGCAATAGTAATAATAATTAAAAATAAATAAACTAATAATAATAAATAAATAACCTTCCAAAACTTCTTTGACATGAATTGTATGTCTTAAATCTTCCATATGTTGTTTATCGTATGTGATGTACAATATTGCAGTAACAGGTTCAGTTAGCTTAACAGGAAATGTTGTGTACTCTGGTCTAAAATATATTATAATTTTCATATTTCTCATCATAAAATAAATTTAATTTTAACACAAACCCTAACAATGCTGGATTATCCAAACATCCACCATCACATGCATAATAATTTTTATCACTTCGGTCCATAGAAACTGAAATTACAGCTTTGTTGTCTTCTTGAACAGTGACAGTTATATTTATATGTGTCATATTACCATAATTCAAACGTCTATTAATTATAAAAAGTTAATATTGGAATAGTTGTACATATAAAAGTAAACAATGTTATTAACTGATAGTGAATCAAACAGTGAACATGATAAAACTTGAACCAAACCCTAAACTTTATTATTTGTCCAAAAAAACTGAATAAAATAGTGTGATAATAGGCCAGTAAAATTTACTGTGAATTCTTTAACAAAATTTCATTGATTAATACTCAAAAAGTAAAGATCTCTGAATATATAATAAAACATTTATCTAAATTAGGTTTCAGTTTAATGAAATATTCAAATAGTTCAGTAGAGGTTTGAATGAAAAATTATATCTTCAGTTTGGTTTTGAGTTCATACATTTAATGAAAAATTTGGTCCAATGTCTAAAATATGGGATTATAATATCACATACAACAAAAATTACAAAAACTAGAAGATAAACATAAACAATACCTAAAGTAGTAGTCTCTATGTAAATGTTTTGGATGCATATTGAACTCTAAATGTTGATTGCTAAAACGAAAATTTCCAAAACTCAATACCATTGCTTGAGCCACACCTACAGCTCCAGCTTTTATTAGATTATGACAACCCTATAACACATAATCTAAAATTATATTTTTTAGAATAAATTAAAAATAAAGAAAATTTTTTCTTGTCATAATAAAATATAATATATGAGTCTTGGTTATTTGCATAAGCAACTATCTTTTGACCTACTAAATATTTTACATTACTTTTTTAAAAAACTATTATTATACTTTATGACAACAAAAATATCATTAAAAAAACAATACTCTTTTATTTATTGTAAAAAAATAATTCTTTTTTAAATTTGTGAAAAATGCAGGGCTAAAATTAAGTACTATATTGGCCTTGGGAAAGTACTTTGAGATAAGTCCCTTAATGAAAAATATTGTTACCTTAAAAAAATGATAAGGCAAGTAAAATTTGATATAGGCCCTTTATGCTATTGGACCTCAGGATGTTCTCCATACTTTAAATGTAAAATAATATATTAAGAGAGCTATTTTTTGGAGTAAATTTTAAGAAAAAAATCATCATTTATTTTGAATATTTTCATGTTTATTTTATGGTATTAAAAGTTAATCTATCATATAAGAATAGATTTGAAGTAATGCATATTTTTTCATTAAGAACATGTTAAAGTTATCAATTTTTTTTTAATAAAAATTATTAACGTTTTAATAAAATTAATTGAAATGATAATAAATTTTATAAAAAAATGTATAATCTTAATAGTAGCACAAAATGAATCTATTTTCTTCTGCTCTCTTCTTAATACATATTTTAATGTTTAATATTGTAAAAAAAAAAAACCAAGCACAGGGGGGTCGCGGCACAGTGGTGACGTGGCATAGTTGGATCAAGTATAATGATATCTGACAGTGATTAAAATCACTATCAAAAAAAAACGCTTCGATGCAAATCTTTAGATAGTGTTTAATTTTAAAAAATTGGTGGATTATTCCAAAAGCTTCATAAACTGCTAGTTCCTTATTAATATCCTGATTAAGACAAAGTATGTAGAATAAAAAAGAGATTATTAGAAAATAGTATTTCCCATAAAAAAATTATATTGATCAATACACTTTTCAATAAGTTATAGCATTATAATGTTAAAAATGTAAAAAATAAAATTGAGAATTTTCACACAATAATAGCATTTGGTAGCCATTTTCACCTTGAAGATAAAATAAAGTCCGAAATTTTTTTTTTCCATGATAAAGTATATTACATTAGCTTTAATTTAAGATATATATAAAAGTGTCAGACTTTCCGGAACACTTTCAAAATTTAAGTTGAAAAAGTCAATTTTTTGTGAAAAAGTTGTCATTTTGAATCCCCCCCTGTAGGCAGGTAAAAAGTCAGATTTATAAAAAAAATATACCAAATGATAGGTAAAGACATCATGCATCTACAAAAAAAAGAATTATATTGATCCATACATCTTTCGAGAAGTTATAGCATTATAAAGTTAAAAATATAAAAAAGAATTTTTTTACAAAAATCGTATTTTTTTTATTAAGTTTAATGTCTGTTTTCACCATGAAGATAAAATAAAGTCCGAAATTTTTTTTTACCATTATAAAGTATATTACATTAGCTTTAATTTAAGATATATATAAAAGTGTCAGACCTTCCGGAACACTTTCAAAAGTTACGTTGAAAAAGTTCTACTTTCTATATGCATTTTTATGTTTTGAATCCCCCCTGTATTTAGGGAAATGGTCCGATTTAAAAAAACAGTATGTCGAATGAAAGATCTATATAAATACTACTTCTCATAAAAAAATTGTAATGATTCATACATTTTTCAAAAAGTTATAGCATAATAAAGTTAAAAATGGAAAATACAAAATCGAAAATTTTCACACAAAAATAGCATTCGGTAGCCATTTTCACCATGAAGATAAGATAAAGTCCGAAATTTTTTTTTTTCATGATAAAGCATATTACATTAGCTTTAATTTAAGATATATATAAAAGTGTCAGACCTTCCGGAACATTTTCAAAATTTAAGTTAAAAAAATTAATTTTTTGTGAAAAAGTTGTCATTTTAAATCCCCCCTTGTGGGCAGGTTAAGGGTTAAATTTATGAAAAAAATATACCAAATGAAAGGTAATGATATTATGCATCTATATAAAAAAGAATTATATTGATATGTTTATTTTTGAAAAAGTTATGGCACTTTTAAGTAAAAAAAATTGAAAAAATTTCGAAAATTAGCGATTTTTAAATTTGTCATTTTTTTGGAGGTTTCCCCCTTTTACAGGGAACGAGGGAATTTTTTTCAATTTTTAAGGGTAATGTCTTCGACTAGATACGATTTGTGATCTTTTGACGTATCATTGAAAGAAATCGGTTTGGTGAGAGCTGAGAAAAAGTGGTAACAGACAAAAAAAAAAAAAAAAAAAAAAAAAAAAAAAAAAAAAAAAAAAAAAAAAAAAAAAAAAAAAACACATCTTAGTAAAACCAATATCTTCTCAGCTTCGCATCGAAGCTAAAACATGAAAATTCAAATTTTCACAACTTTAGAATACTACAGAAAATTTATTACTAATATTGGTGAGATATCTTTTATCAAATTTTTCCTTAAAATCTACTATAAAAAATGGCCATTTTGATTTTTTCTATACATTTTACACAAATTAAAAAAAAATTCATTTTTAATTGTTTTAATAAATTAAAGAAATATTTTTTCTGATGATATTTACATATTAAAAAGTAACACAAAATATTCAGTAAATAAAACATTATTAGATTTTTCACATCATTGTGGATTACCTATATAAATTTTTATAATTTTAAGACATACTTGTTTTTCTAAGGTTAAAATCCATAAGGACACTGCTTTATTTATATCATTCATTGTATAAGGTTTTAACCATAGGGCTTGAGCTTGTCTAAATATGAAAAAATATTAACAAAAATATATAACAATATAATCTATTTATCTCTATATTATTAAACTTACAATGTATCATACATTGCACCATAACAACCTTCAACATAGGATAAGCTGCTAGAAACTTGAGAATGAATAGCAGGAGATGTTGCTAATTCATAAGTTGGAGCTCTAACACTAGATAATACATAATACATTGTAGCATTTATTAAATCTCCATTTAATACATCAACAGCTTTAGATGTGCTTATGGAAAATCCAGTATTCCATAATTTTTCCCAAATTTCCATTTGAGAATGTTCAATATTTTCATAATGTAAAGCATTCATCATTTGCTAGTATTAAAATATAAATAATTTTACTTACTATAAATTATTATCTAAGATATTTAAAATATTCTTACATCAATTGCTTTATTTTCTAATATTGGTTTAGCATTGTTAAATTCAGAAGTTTGTTTTAAAACCATATACTCAATAGAAACAAGAACACGTACTTTATAAATACCATGAGGGCTAATCTGAAATAGAAGCATGTTTTATTTATAAATATTATTTAATTTTTTTTCATACCTTGACTTCATTAGGAAATGTAGTATAAACAATTGAAACAGCAAAAATGGGATTATTGGATGTGGATGTACTAATACCAGTTGAAACTAAAATATTTTCATTATATTCCGTAACTCTAAAATTAAATTTAATTTTTAACTTAAAAAACAATTATAATTATGTAATTACACTTACTTAATTGAACGGGTACTGTACATAGACCATGCATGATTTTTGTACAGTTTTTGTTCTAATCTTAAATATAAAGGATAATCAGTAGGATTAAATATTTCTACATCTTGAATCAGAATTGATGGCAATGCACGGAATGCATAATATTTTATACAACTATGAAGTTTATTAGCAAAAACTTCATATTTATATGCTATTCCATGTTTATAATTTACAACAGTAGCTAATTTTGAATAACCTCCAAAAATTAGTTGCACATTGGGAAACCAATAAATAGGTATTGACATAGCTCTATTTCCTTTTATGTAGATTGGGGAATCATTATCAAGTGTTACTCCGATGTAACCATTACCCACAAATTCTTTAAATGGTTTTTCCTCGGGATTTAAGGGAAAATGTCTAATATTTGCATCATAGTAACTAGATGCTTCTTGGTGGTAAGAGAGAAATTCTAATAAACTGTTTTTCATATACAATTCATCTGTAATAATATGAATAATTGATTAAGTAATAATGTTTAAGTATAAAAAAATAAAAGTTATAAAATTAAATTTTTAGGATATAATTAGATGTTAAATATTGATACATTTCATTAAACTAATATAACTATGGTAAAATTAACATCATACCCTTGAGTTTTATCATTTGTAAATATTCTATAAGTTACACATCAAGTTATTTAAATTAATTAATAAAATTAATAAAATTGAAATAATTATCTTGTATAAATATATGGATTAACTTACCATACTCAGGATTCCTATCATTTGATGATCTCATATATGGACTCAAATAATAAAGAAATGAGATAATAATTAAAATAACAATACCAATCTTTTTAGATCTGAAAAACATGAATTATACATTTTTATTTAATAAAATCATCACCAAATAAATTATTACTAACATTTTAATTTTTTCTAAAGTTCTTTTAAACCGATAAATCACATCTCGTAAACTCATGGTGTTATAAACTAATTAATAATACTACAAGAAAACAAATAATGAATCTACATTTTTTTTTAAGTTTTATTTTACTTTGAATATTTTTTAAGTTTACTTAAAAAATATTTGCATACACCTGTTATTAAAAAATAAAAAATTCAACACAATAAAAATAAATTCCGGTTATAACAAAAATCGTTGTCGTCGGTGTACGTATGTTATTGTTTTTGTTAGCATGATAACATAAACTATGATTAGGATATTGTGACACAGAATGAACAGAATGGACACTGATAAAAATTTACACGGTCAATATTGGGAGGTGATTAGAATAAGTCCGCCATTTTTATGTAGGTAAATCAGTGTGACCACTTTTCAATACTAAAATTGTGTATACCTATTTCAAAATATAAAGTAACAATTTTAATTATGGTATTTATATTTTTGAACGTGTACAACACTACATAAATATTTAATATATTTCAATAATATAATAATAGGATAATTCAAATTAATAAAACAAAAACACCAAAAATAATGATTCGTGTTCAATTGAATTATACATTTTTTAAATATTTCATACAAAAATTTCTAAAATTTTTCATTAATTTTGAATAAATTATTTAATAAAATATATCATAATAAAATTAATACCTTCTTAGCTTTGCATCAAAGCTAAACACAAAAAAAAACAATTAACATAATAATGAAATTTCAAAATCAACACATACATTCATCACATAAATTATACAATAATTAAACAATTAATAAATTAAAGTATAATAAAAACTCTTTCAAATAATCTAAAACATGTAAATGTATTTCATTAATGTGTTAGTATATCAAGTATCTTATGTTTTCTCGGTTTTGATAAAATATTTTTGTTTGAAAATTTTAAAGAACTAAATATTCTCAGTCTTATATAAAGGTTTTTTAAAAACTGATAATCAAAGTTTGGATATGGATGCTTAATGGGAATATTACTTATTAAATTTCTAATTTCTTTTCATACATTATTGTTTACAGAAATTATTGGAAATTCTTCTATAAAAATATTAAAAATTCACTAATATAATTTACAAACACATCGGGTGGAGTATTTAAGTTTCCATAAGTGGATAAATTTTCAAATGGTAAGCCTTAAAATATGTAAAAAAAAAGATTCATCTAACTGATTTTGAGATTTAGAATAACTAATACATATACCACAATTATGTTTTTCTAGTGATTTCTTAATTAGATAGTCACCTACATAAGTAAGGGCATTTATAGCAGGAAAACTTAAATCATGATAATCAATCATACCAACTTTAAAATTTTCAAAATTATAAGAGTTTTCTCAGGATTAAATACAATAAAACTGTTTAATGGAGGAGCAGCATCACTTAAATTAGTTAAAATTTAGACAAAATCATTCAGACAATTTAAGCCCTCAGACTGTTTGAAAAAATTTTCTGCGTTAAAAAACATTTTAGGTTTGAAATTAACATTACAAACCATATAATACTTATTCAATTTATCAATTGATTTGTCTAACAAATTATTTATGTTGCAATTTTAGTAACTATTTTAAAACTATTGAATAAATTTAAGATTTTTTAAGATATAAATATTATTTTTCTTAATTTATAATAAAAAAAACTAACCAAGGAAAATCCTTTGGTATTTTAAACATTTTACAATCATCATTTTTGGAAGCAATACTTGAGTTAATGCAATTTTTTACAATGCAAAGATAAACCATTCTATTAATTATTACATAAAAAATAGAAAATTAATGAAATAAAATGATTAAAAGTAAAATTCTTACAATATATATTTTCACTCAACCGGCATTAGTTGTTATCATGACAACAAAATGATAATACCAATACCTACAATAAAATGGCTGCTACTTTTTGTTTACATATCGAAGTGTCCGTAGCCTAATTTTGAGCTCATAGATAATTCTTTATTATAATTGGTACAAAAAGCCACTATACAATAATCAACAGATCAATATTTTCGTACCACTGTATTATAATGAAATAATATAAAATGTTTAACGAATAATAATAATACATTTATAAATCTGTTTTTATATTGAATAAATAAAATAATAAATGAATTTGTAATAATTTATTAGTTGTAAAAGTAGACGGACATTTTATATAAAGTTTGGAGAGGGGATTAAAATATAAATTTTTGTATTCATTTTACTTTATATTGTTACATAGAAAATATATAAAAGTGTAAATAAGAGTATCATTTAATATTTTAAACCAAAATTACATATTGTTTAATTAGAAATGACAACTAAGTTTATGATGTAATTAGTTCTATTATTAAATTTTATTTTTGTAATAAGTTATATAATATTTACCTTATACACTCTTTAATAAGGCTCGAATACTTTTGTTTGAAGTAATTCTTGAGAATAATGTGGATGAACCTTATATTTTACACAAACATAAGAAAAATTATGATAGATAAATAGTATTATTTGTTCACTGAAATATCCTAAACCTTTTTTACGTTTGGAGCAAAAATCAAAAACATGATAAATTAGAGCGTGAATTTTAGGAGTAATGGTATAGTGTAATTTTTCGTAATTTCTTTTAAAATCATCAATTTTATATATATATATATATATATATATATATATATATATATATACATATATATATATATATATATATATATATATANGAATAACTATATCCATTATTACTTTGTTTGAACAATAAAAATACGGCCATAGTGCAATTTAAAAAAATGTCATTTTCTAAAAATAGAACGATCTTTTAAAATCCAATTTTTTAAATTATTTCTATAATTTTCTACTGTCTTATAAACACCACATTGATTTAAACAATTTTTTGACGTTTCACACTACTTACACGAATGTTCATTTAAATAATTATTTATTAATATTAAAATATTATATATTTTAATTATAATTAATTAATCCACTAAAATTACAATTTTGGCGTTTTCCAGGAAATACAATATTTAAACAATTTTGAACATCTGTTTTCTACTTTTATGTCATTTTATTAGTACATTATTTTCTTTAATACATTTTTATAATCAAAATTAATAATGGTAGTCATTTTAACTAAATGACAAATATGACACTGCATTTTTAATTCTTTCTAGAACTTCTCAAAATTTTTTTCAATAAAGAAATCTGGTAGCATAAATTTAGAAACATTCTTGAATACAAGATATATTTTCATTTGAAAACAACTAGAAATTACGTTAGGATATTGTTCATTAGATGTATCAAAAGATATAAGCCATCAACTTTAAATTTCAAAGCACCTTTTATTTAATATATTGTTTTATATTTTAGAAAATATAACATACAAACTTTACTACGATTTTCATCATGGATTCCAACTTTTTATAATTAGGAATATTTAAACGTAATAATACCTTTTTAATATTATTTAATAAATCCAAAATAAATTATAAACAATAATGTGTGAAATAATTTTTATTTCCTTCGAAAATATAATGCATTAAATTGAACTTGACATAATCCTTGACTTTTATTATTTGACACTGACTGATGTTTGACCAAAGAGAAGAAAAAAGTTGACAAAATGTTTAACATTAATGAGACTTTAAACAGGTAATTTTAATTGGAGATTCCTCAATTCGTTTATAAATAATATAATAATAATTTTTTGTTACTATTATGAGTTTTTTATGACAAAAACACAAACGAAAGAGTAAACTACAGAATAGATAAATAATTAAAAATTTTTTTATCCATTTTCTGATTAAATAAAATTATCTGTATAATGTAGTTTTTTAAATTATTATTCAAGTATTCCGGATTATATTACACTAATAATCCTCATTAAATCAACAACATGCTTGATAACACTATCATTATATAAATATTATTGTTATCAGATTTTTATCTAATATAAAAACATCAACCGACTTTTGATATTTGGAAATACATATAAAAAAGTAAAATGATAATAATGCATCTCAATATTTTTATTATTTAAATTATATTATTTCTATTAAAAGTGGATTTTCAAATGAGCTAACTCAATATTTTAAAATCCAAATAATTTTATTTTTAGTAAATATTTAACCAAAAAATAAACATTATCTTTTAACTTCAGATCATTTTTAATACCAAGAAATTCCCAATGTTTTTTAATCATTAATGTATTTACTGGTTATAGAAAAATAGTTTAAAATATTTATATTTATTTTGTAATTTATAGGTATTCTCAGTTAAATTGTAAATATTATCATGCATAAGTCAATGTCAAAATCTGAAGTTCGATGTGCGAGTTTATTGAATAATGTATTGGATGAAAATATAAATATAAACGAAATATTAGAAAAAATCAAATCTACAGAACAAATTGTAACTAAATGACTAAAACTATATTTCTTTTAATTAAATCAATGATAGTAAAAATAAAATTAGTCAATATTATATCCATTTAGGGAAAAATAAATCCTAGTTTAACTTCTTTTATCTGAAAAAATAAGTGTGTTTTCAAATTTTAACCTAATTGACTTATGTTAAGTTTTTGCTATAATTGATTTAATTAATGTTATTCTTGTCTTTAAGCTCAATTTTAATAAAATAATTAGTATTAATGAGGAGTACTACTAAAAAAATTAAACATTTAATTTATAAAAAATTTTGTATTAAGAATAAATTTTCAATATTGTAGAATGTACGTCCTGGAGTTGGCAAAATAGAGTTTACCATCTATTTAATTGATTTTATTCATAATAAAACTATGCCGTAAGTAATATGATATAAAAATAATATTTATTTAATAACTTATGATTTATTTTATATTTTTAAGTCTTTTAAATCCACCTGATGACAATACTCTTACTTCAAATAATATATTTAATGTACCAGAAGTTGATTCCCCAACTGATATTAGGATGTTTCCTAAAACATCTACTCCGAAAAAAAATAATTCTAAACATGACAAGAAAACAGTTCAAATCCATACTATAACACTAAAAGCAACTAAAGTCAAAATGTTAGGTAATACTAAAAATAGTATATGCAGTATCTGAATAATTTAACTGAAAACAATTTTTTACTTGTATGTTTTTTACATCATGAAGTACATTTTTATAACCTGAAGTTACAAAAAATGTTATTATAATCATGTTATAATTTTCAATTATCCAGTTATTTTTTTACTAACATTAAAAAATACTATCTATTTGTTTTTCAGATGTATCTATAAAAAATCAAAAGTGCTTAGATTTATTGGCATACTTGTATTCTGCTATTTTAGAATCTGATTTACTATGTAATTTATATCACGAGCTAGAGTTTGTTTTTACAGTTCTCACGTTTTCTAATTTAGAAAAAAAAACAAGTTTTGAGAATTTAGACTCTAGCACTATTATGTATTTTAAATCAATAGAAGACTGTCAATATTTTGCTTCCAAAACTATTCAAAATTTATCTTCAACTATATCATACTTAGAGAAGCCATTGGTGAATGTAATTGTTAAACTTAAAGTTATCAATACTTATGTTCCAGAGCTTTCCAAAATTCTAGAGAGTAATTTGAATTCTACGGTCTGAGAAATAGTTTATAGACATAAATTTGGTAATTTATCATGTATATATTGATTTAATTTTTTTTTTTTAGATTGTAAATGATGATGTTAAATCATTAAACTCTAGTATCTCTAAAAGTATGGTAAAATTTGATGAAGAACATGATACCAAAGACTGCTTTCCAACTTTAAAAATGTTTCATGCATTTAAAACACAACGTGATGCATTTTATGAACTTCTTGAAAGTTGGAAGCAAACTGATAATCAAATCCAATTAAATCCAAACAAAGTTACTCATATTCATAAAATGTTAAGCGAACACAATAGTACAGTAAATATGAGCAAATTTACTAGACTTTTTGTCACACAGTTAATTAACTCTTCATTTGAAGAATCAAAGGTAAATACATTTTAATTGTAATCTTAATATTTATTATTATTAATATAAGATATTGAAGTTTAAAATTCATGTAATATGTATATTTTTCAATTTTTTTTTATAATGACTTAGCTCTTTCTCATTGATGTAATTAATAAGTTAAATGGATTAATATCTTTTATTATTAATGAAAAAATATGAAATGTACTAAAAGTTAAATTGGTATTAAATTAATTAGTTTGTATAATATACATTTTTTTCAGCAGAATAAATTAAACTAGGGGGCAAAGATATAGATCATTTATGGCTGGTTTTGTTACATTAACAATCACTCAATTATTTTTAATTTTAGTAAGTTACTTATTTAAAAATGTTCAAAATGAGAACTAGGTTTGAACTCATTTGTAAAACTATTGAAAATAAAATAACCAGTAAAATATTTTCATTTTAATATTATATAGAATCCTATACACAATATTTTCTTTATGGTTATAATTTATTTATAATTTGTGATAAAGTTTTATAAAAATATGTTGCTTTTTTTTTATTTTATATTTTTACAGATTGACAGAGATTTGCTTTCTTTGTCTGTTAAATACTATTGAACCATCAATACCAAATTTCATTAATAATACCTTAGTTATATTATTTTCTAAATGTTTGTTTTAGAATGTTTATAAAAGTAAAACACTGCAGGATCTTTCTGCTTCAAAGCTAGAGTTACTGCATCAACGTATTACAAAACGTGATTATACTAGTGGAAGTAATATAAACCCTTCAAATGAATTTACTGGTGTGCAATTGTTTTTTCGAGAATTTGTAACTTTATCTTTAGTGAATGGAATATTTTGTAAACACCTAATTGATACTTTGGTACATAGAATTGATGTTATTAATTCAATGGAGTGGGCATCTGAGTTACAAGAAGGTTTTTCATTTAATCATAAAATGGTGAAAATTTTTAATTAACTATTAACTTTTACTTTTAGGTGGAATATATCATCAAACATTTTTTACATATCTTGATACATTAAGATTATTAGCGAAATTTCTTGCATTTACATTGTACTACCCTTATAAAGATTGTAACATGATAAATCCTGCTTTAAAAGAATACCTTTGGGATGTTCGATCTAAGGTTAGACATTGTTATATTCCTATTAAATAAAAATATAGTTAACTCATATTGTTTTTAGGTGACACCTCCATTGAATATTTTATCTAAATTACGTGATGCTGTTAAGCGAGGGAATGGACAAATTATTTTAACAGTTTTTTGGGTCATTGAGTACTTGTATCAAGTTGATAAAATTTCAATTACAACTCAATTTTATAAAAGTGTTTTGACATGGCTTTACTCATTTTGCTTAAATGTTCCTCCAATAACTGCATCTGCTCTTATGTTGAAACTACAAATCAACTCATTATTTGAGTATATAAATGTTGTACCACATACTTTGCTTGATGAAGTTAATAAAACCCGAGATAAATGTAATTCTAATTTATGTATATAAAATTTTTTTTAACAAGGTTTGGTTTTTTTTATTCTCTTTTGTAAGACAATTTATTATGATATGTAAGCAATTTTTATTTTAGTAGATTAGAAACTAAATCTCGTTATAAAGTTGGTAAAATACATAATTTTGTTTTTAATTTAACTTGTAAAACATGTCTATAGGAATTAGAAATGAGTAATCGAATCCAGTGGCATACCTTGGTATTTTAATTTTTTGGGCAGGTTGCCTTTGATGTCTTGGGTCATTTTATCTCATTTAGCCCACTTTTATTTCACTGTGGACAACTATATCTTGATAATTTTTTTTGAACACTACAATGAAATATTATTTTATAATAATTTTTATGATATATTGATAAATAGTTATTTTTTTGTTTAGGTGTCGTTGAGAATATTAGAAGTGCATTAAAAAATGGTCCAATTGTTAATACAAAGCAATTGTATCACTATTGTCCGCAACTAAACAACTTTCGAGCAATATTAGAAAATAAAAATAACAATAAAAAACAAAAATTTGTATCACCCACTCTCAGATCTACCAATCGAAAAGATATTAAACAAAAACATCTTATTGAGGTAATGTATATTAAAAATTTAAATTATGTCATTAAATTAATGGTGTTAATCTCTAAGCTAACCTCATCAAGTATAGATGAGTTAATTTTATTAAAATTATAAAACAATGAGTGTTTGTATTTTGTATTAACAACATATTGAATGGAAATTTTTTTCCAATCTTTTGTTATACTTTAATATTTTTAAACTATTAATACATATATTATTTTATAACAGTTGGAGTTGGAATCTCATTTTTTCGAAAATCACTCCCCTTCAGTACTAACAACTGTAGATTTTGTTGCTAAGCGGATGGCTTCATCATGTACTAAAAAAATTCAAAGTAAAGGTGTAGCGGCTGTAAAAAATCACTTTGTTAATACTGTTTGTGAAAAACTAAAAAGTTATCTAAGTGGAGATATTGTAATTGCAATGCAATATTTATGATATATAGTTTTTTAATGAAATTTATTTGTGGAGTAAGAATGTTTAAATTTGTAGGAGGCAGATTTCAAAATCGATGAAAATGATGTTACTAAAACTAGCATGTTTCTGAATACACTAATTCAAAAATATATTGATGACTTTGCCAAAAATAATATACCTATTTCTTTAAAACAATTATTAGATTCAAATATTTTAAATCCACATTCTCTATCATTTTGTACAGCTGTAGCAGTAAGAAAGTTAAAAATTTTAGTTTCTGAATGGGTGAAAAATCATATTAATATAAAAAGTAAATTATAATGTAAAATTCATTTACTTCATTTATAAAATGACTACTATGTAAAGTGTTCAGTAAGTAAGGAAATGGGTTTCGTATTGTTCTTATTGTTTGTAACAATTGACTTGTTTCCTTACTTACTGAACACTTTGTATATCACATATTGTATTGTAGATATACTCATTGACTATATAAGTACAGAACTTAAACATAATTTAAAAGTTGGTGACATTAATCAAGATGGAAGTAATTTATATGAAATATTACTGCCTAATCAAACTATTGATATAGATAAAGACATGTTTATTCCAGAAAATGAACTTTTAGTAGATTTAAATGTAAGTATAACTTTTCTCATGCAAGGCCGCATCTAGTGGTGACACTGGATGCACATATATACTGCAGGTTTTAAGGGTGACACTAAAATATGATATAATGTAAGAATATTTTTTTTGCTTGTTCAAAAAAAATAAAAAAATTGAGATCCATAAAAAGTAGAGAAAACTTTTTTTTGATGAGCAACATAAAAAGGCCATTGTGGGCGGAAATATTAGCTATCCAGATAGTGAAATTACTATATGCGGTGCCTTGCATTCAGTTTTTTTATAGTTTTATTTTTAAATGTGAGATACTGTTTAATAAATAGGAAATTTATATTGAAATAAAAAAATATTCATAAGTTTTTTTTTTAAGCTGCCAAATAGCTTAATTATTTAAACAATAAATGTATGATTATAAATATATTTTATAATAATTGTAAATGAAATAGTGTTAAAACGATTAATAATAAATACACATGTATAATTTATAACTGAATATTTTAACCCAGGTGTTAAGACATCTGATGTCTTTAGAATAGTCCAAAAGTTGAATTTATTAATGTGATTTGTTAATCTCACTTCATGTTTGCATGCAAATATCTTTATTTTTTCAGAGACTGTAGGCAAATTCAAGTCACATTGTATAATGTCATTTTTATTGTATTAATAAGTCGCAAAATTATAGTATCTTTTATTAATATTAATCATATATTTATTACTACAATTATACACCATAAGTCTAAATTGGTTTTATGATGACCACGTAAAGTAGATTATTATTTAATATAAGTTTTGAATGTTTCCCGGGCAATCACTAAAATTTTTTCATTTTTTTTTTATTTGCCTACTTTTGTGATGTGATGATTTCAATTACAATGTGAATTTAGTTGCATTCCAAGATATTTAGTTGAATCTTTATGTAGAATAATTTGTTGATTCAGCTTAATAGTAATGTTTTTGATATTTCTTAGTATATAATTGACGTAAACTAATTTGTCATTATTTTTAAAAATAAGTGACTAGTAATTCTATGCTATCGCATTTATCTTGATTTTGGTTAGCTGAAGTTCTTTCTTATTACAAAATTTGTGTTTGATAGAATTCATATAATTTTTAAAAGTTTATCAAATTATAATAGCAAATTATGGTATAAAAAATTAATTTTTATTTAAAGTCTTTTTAAGAGTTTCTATATCATAATGCTGTTTATTATAGATATTTAGTTTAAAAATTATTGAAGCTGAAGGGTATCAGTTAACATCAGAAGATTTATCTAATTATTCAGAAAAATTTAAAATAATTATTGAGAATAAAAAAAATATTGACCCTGCAGTATTCCGTTTTATTATTACTAGATTGATAGACAATGTGCTATTAGCAAGTAAGTTAATTTTTAATTAATGTATAAATATAGTTAACTTATATGATTTTAATAAAATTTTGATAATTTCAAAGCTTATCATTCACCTAAACTAATAAATACTGATGTCATAAAAGCTTATCACCAATATTTCAATGAAAAGCTTTTTGAAGTTTCATTAATACTTTGTGAAAGAAATATTAATTTACTATCTCACAAGTCAAACTCAGTAAAAGCTCTCATAGCTGATAAAATAACAGAATGGATTAAATATTTTATAGAAAATAGTTATCTTACTATTGATGATTTGACAAACCAAATAATGTCAATATTGAGAATATCTTGGCCAGAAGTAAAATTTTAATATATTAAATTTAAATTGTTAATTAATATTAAATATATTTTTAGGATACTTTAAAATGTCTTTCAGTTTGTTTTAAAGACTTAAATAGCGTGTGTTTGAAAAATTTTGATGATAGTAAAGTACAAGAATTGTTTTTATGGCTTACACATTTCATTGATGTCATAGAAGATTATAATGAACAACTTTAATTTCTAATATATTAATATATTTTTTTAACTTTCTTAAGTAATTTTTTGTTGATAATAATTTTTATTTATTAATATTGTAAGAAGTAAGAAGACTGAATGTTACAATATCAGCTTTAAGTTTTATTGATCCCAATTTGTATTTAAGAATACTTTTTCATAAAATTGATATTTTTGTGTAAGTTAACGAATTTTAGCATACTTAAACTTTTTATGTTACTTGTGACTAAGAAATAAATTGGCAATATTATGTGTAAAATGTTTTATAATTATTTTCCAGTTCCCGCAATATAAGAAGTTAAATTTATAAATTTATTATTTAACAGTAATGTAAGTTGTAAATTCTTAAAATGTTTTATTTTCTATGTTTATTATTATTATATTATTTCTGTTTTAACTATTGAAAAATGTTAAATCACATTTTTGTATTTATATATATATATATATATATATATATATATATATATATATATAGTGTTTTGAAACATTTTGTTAAGTTTAAAAAAACAAAATCAAATAATCAATTAAAATCACTCCATTAATTCCTGCATGAGAGCAGTATACTACTATGCACTAAGCCATACAATATATAATCATATTATTATCATAGTTATAAAACAACTTTTTTATTGATAACTTTATTATGAATTCCTTATTATTCATTTATATATAAACATAATTTTATAGAAAGTTCTAGAGAACGATTTACTTGTCTACAAAATGTGGATTATGCTTCTAAATTACTTGCTTACTTTTTTTATAAAAATAATTAAACATTTTGCGTTATTGAAATTTTAACTTGTGGACGAGTTAAATTTTAGGTGGCCTGTATCTTTTAATTAAGAACGAGTCCTGTATTGATACATTTATTTTTTATTTAATAACAAAACGATTAAAATAAATCAAATTATGAGTATTATATTTAGATACTAAACTTTAAATTGTTATAATAAATGTGTTGCTGCAATTAAAAGTTTAAATCTTAAATTGATTGTTACCTGACCATTCACCCCTATTACTGTTAAAATTCCTTATTTTTATCGTCCACAAAGTCATTCATAATTGTTATTATCAACAAACAATAACAATCTGTTGTTTCTCATAGCATTGATTATACGTGTATAGTCACTGTACATTATAGGTATCACAAGTTTGCAGTATAAATACTATTGGATTCATAGAATTTTTTTATTATTTGAATTATTGTATTTGTAACAAAAAGAATATTAGTGTTTATGAATATGGTTAAAGTAATAGTATTATTATTTAAATTTAATTGTATTAGGAATTTAAGAGATAACGAATTTGTAGTATTTTTACAAAGTACTTTAATATATTTCTATTTGTAGTTTTATAAAACATTTATTATAAGTGCTTATTTAAAAGTATTTTAATGAAATCAACCTTTGTGCGTAATGTTAATCGGAATTTAGACTATTGAGTAATGATTTTATTCAAGGAATTATACAGTTGACCCGCATGATAACATCTTATTCTAACGTATACAGATTTATAGAAAAAGTGTTCAAATGTTTCATAGAAAATTGTTATTGGCTTAGTGGTTCTACAACTTATCCTACACTAAAACGTGTTTGAATGTTTTAATAATGAGACAACAAAAATTAATTTTATTTTGTACTCTCATTTCTTTTTTTTCCCTTTGTTGGTCTTGTGAAGATCGATTTACTCCCCTGAAGATTGCTCGAACAATATTAAAACCAGAGAAAAATGGCTTTAAAATTTCATTGTTTGGCAACCCGGATAAGTATATACCTCACTCGATGTATAGCGGTAAATAATTATTAAATTATTAGTTAAAACTTAATTAGGTAGTGACATTATTTGGGAGGGAGGTAATTTAGACATTTTCCTCTTTAAATTTTTATTAAGTATACAAACGGCAACCAGCGATCTACATTAATTTTTATCTGTAGCTTTCTTTGTTATTAGCATGTTGATGAATTTTTAAAGTTATAATACTAGGGTATTGATCTTTTGTTATCATCCGAATATCAAATCACTCTAGCTATTGTTAAAAACAAATTTAAAAACTTTGTAACAAATATTATGGTTCCAAGGTAGCAATAAATACAACAAATTTTTAGTACTTAATGCTTGCAAAAAATAATTTTAATAAAAAAAAAAAAGATTATGTTTTGTAGATTAGCAAAAGAAGCTACTAGACGTATAATGTGTTCCTTTTAATCTATTTTTAATGAGTATAGAAAATCAATTACACATTATTGTTGAATACTTACAAAAAAAGTTAAAATAAGGTATTAAATCGTGAGCGAAACAATTGCTTCGTTTATTAATAGGTGGGTTTTGTGAGATTCTGGCCAGATTTAAAAAGTTACATCTTGAAATAAAAATATAAAATTATGCCATTTTTATTAAAGTAAATTGAATAATTGTATTTATGATATAAATTTTTAAGTATTTATATCAATTTTACGAAAATTATTTATAAAAAAATATATAAATATACGAGTATGAAAATAGATTGTAGCTGTGGAAAACAGCTACAACAAAGTTATCATAGGCACAATTTGAATTAAATGTTTGAGAAAAATGTTTGAGGTATACTGTGATCTATACTCTTCTTATTAATTTTTTTATTTAAAAATTCATGTAATTTATAATTTGAACCTATTTGATAGATTAATAAAAAAATCAGGCGTTCCTAGAATTTTGTCTTTGGACAGGGACCATAAAATACATAAAAACATTTTTTTATTAACCCTTCAAATATTAATGATATATTTTTTTGACATGAGAAGAGTTCTATCCGCCATATATTATCACAAGAATGCTAATATCCTAAGCAATTTACGTGGTGAAATATTAAGTACGGAGCCCCAAAATTCAGAAAAACCAATTGTTAACTACAAAAAATATTTTTTAATGATGGGATAACAGAAAATTTAGCCTCCACATTGCTACAAAACCTAACAGATGCTTATGTGGAGGAAGATGGTCACTAAAAAGAAAATAATTATAAAGTTAAAATATTTTTTTTTTGCTTGATAGGATAAAAATTTAATTGTACGATACCAGTCATTGTATAAACTTTTAAAAACTTTTAATATTTAAAAGTTCTGGTTCGGTTTTGGTACTGATTTTCCTGAAAATAATAATTCCTATCCTGGTTTGCCTTGGGATACTAAGTATTAAAAACATACTGGTTGAAGAACTAATTTTTTTAATTCTATTCCAGCCTCTGATTATAATTATAATATAATATATTATAATATTAAAATCGAAATTTAATAATTTTCAGTAATGATTGATAGTGAATATGTGAATTTTAACTCGTTTGTGATAAGTTCTCAGCGGTGGTGCGATAATGACGATGAAGATGAATGTGGAGATCCCATGTCCCCCGATAGGGCCGGCTCATTGCAAGTAATGACAATTCCCGATATCGACATAAGCTTCCATCCTGAATGTATTAATACTCTTGTGGTGTCCTCACCAATTGAAGAAAATAAACGCCCTAAAGTTGAGTTTGTGTGGGTAGCTCCAAAATCCGGAAGTGGATGTGTTTATTTAAGGTAGTTTTTAAAAACAAACATTTAATTTTATAATTTGAATGGATAAGTTGGTCAAAAATATAGTAGCTACAACATAAAATCTTTAGGCCTTTTTAATTTCGATACAATTTACATTAGAATAGGCAAGTCCAGACTTTTTTGTAGGTGTGTTCAATAGTCTCAACACGAAAAGAGCTCTCTCACTCAAATAATTATATTTATTGTATAGAAATTTATTTTCTGTACTAAGTACACAATACTCAAATTTCACAAATATCACTGGTAGTGTCTGGACACTACAAAAACTAACCGTGAACGCTTATGATTATAAACATTTATACACATTTTCCTTGTTTCGAATATTTTAGACTGAGGACCTATGTTAATATGTATGAGCTTTTTAAAAAGAATTTAGTTTTTATAATTTTTCAGCTATTATTATCATTTATTTCAATTGTAGAGCTATCATGTCGCATTCAAATCAACCAGGCGTTCAAACCGAATTGTTAAAAGAATTGTGTGAAATGATAGATTCTATAGTTCCTCCTCCAATAGAAGAAGAAAAATGTTGTGCTTGTGATGAGGCTGTTTATGAAGTAACATAAATTTACAGTTGCTAAATAAAATACTTGAAAATAATTTATGTACCGTTCATAAATATTTTAGATGAAATTCGAAGGACTATGGTCGTCAGATACGCATCCTAAAGATTATCCAACATCACTATGGTTAGTACATTTCAGTGATATCATGGGAGCTTCCCATGATAAAAATTATTCGCTTTTCACAGAAGGCCAGTGGGCAACCGATGGAGTGCGGCAACTTGCAGAATGGGGATCGACTGGCATTTTGGAATCTGAACTTAGGCAACAGGTGTATTATTTCATTTTTAAACTTTTAAAAAGTTTTTTACCTTCTGGATTATAAAAAATTCATATTCATGAAAGTAATTTAATTATTATTTTACTATATATAATTGTATAGTAATTTGAAAACATTATATTTTTCAAAATTCATTTTTAAAAATCACTAATTATCGACATTTTTACTTAAAACTGCTATAACTTTTTTAAGTTATATGACCAAAGCAATAATTTTTTTTTATATAGATACGTGAGATATGTTTTTATATTTACCTATCATTTAGTATATTTTTTTTATAAATCTTACCCTTTACGTGCCCACTTTATTTTGTTTTCATGGTGAAAACTGACATCAAATTTAATAAAAAGAATTCGATTTTTGTAAAAAATTACGATATTAATTAAAATTAAGTGGTATAAATGTTTCATGATAAATTAATCACCTGTATAAAATAAACTATTTATTAAAATAAAATAATTTATAAAAACAATTATTATTTTATTAAACATGGAAAAATATTGAAACAATGTAAATATAAAGTAAAATAATTTATTTCTAGAAAAAACATTTGAGATCTTTGATTAAAGCTCCCGGCTTATGGTATCCACGTGTTAATACCAATACCACGACCAAATTTCGAGTTGATAGAAAGCACCATTTTATGTCAATGGCTAGTATGATAGGTAATTCTTTTTAACCATTAAGTAATTTTATCGATTGAAATAGTGGTGTGATCTATTCTTTTATTTAATTTAACAAACAATGTAAGTGATTTTTTTAAGGTCCATCTCCGGATTGGTTCGTAGGAGTAAATGGTTATAATCTTTGCGAAAAAAATTGTAAATGGGCTAAACAAAGGACCATTGATTTGTATGCATATGACGCTGGAACTGATAGTGGTAGAACATACATGGTAAGTTCATAATAAATACCAAGGTATTAATAAACACTTTTTCAATTGAATATTTTTGAGTTATTCATAATTTAATACATTCCTGTTTTTATTTTAGTTATTCTAGAGATATTTTTCGTTTGCTTAAAATTAAAAATTTACTACTGATTTTGTTTTTATTAGATTATGTACATATTTGTGTATGTTTGATATAATTCTTAACTCTATCAAAAATATAACTGTACCAATTTCAAATCTCCTCTCTTTTGTCTAGATTGTTGCCAATTTTGCTTTTTGTTTTGTTCATAAACCTAAATTCTACTTTTATGAGCAACATTGATCCTTTATTTGTATTGTTTAAACGTGGCCAGAACTGATCAAGTAATGACACAGTATTCGTTTTAAAAATATGCGGGAGATGTAAAATGAAAACTCAAATAAAAAAAAACTCTGATTCTATCAAGGAATTTATTGGAAATTGTGATAAAAACAAATTTATTCCTCATTCAATGATTGGACGAAAAAAAAAATACGAATAAAAGAGAAATGTTACTCCTTTATTTACACTATATGACCTATCTTTATTCCAAAATCACGTTTCTACTTATACGAATCTTATAATTTTAATTATGAATCAATCAGGAACCAAAAAAAACTTTAAAAGTTTCCCATTTAGAAATATAAATTTTGAAATTAAAAAAAAAAATTTTTCTATCTTTAAAATTTAAATTTAGATGAAAACAATTTATGATTTATGACGTGTGACGTTATAATTTTTTGTGCACTGATGTATACAATTGGGTCATTCTGTGCCTGTATATGCTTAATTAATCAATCATACAATGTTCTATGAAATAAAATTCACTGATTTCAAAACACAATGTTTTATTTTGATAACCAGAAATTTTTATTGAAATTAAAGCTGAGTTCTTATAAATTTAAATTATTTTACATCAAACTTATTAGCTTATTATTGTATACTGGTAATGTCAGCTTTTAATAACTATCATACTAAATTGTGTGTAAACGACGTTCTTTGACGCACGCATTTCATTAAGTATGTCATCTATGGGCATTAATTAAAAACCATTCTAATCGGGTCTCATAAGTTCAACAAATTTGAATATTCATTTGATCCGATATTTTGATATCAAAATAGTGTGCTCCTCAACTGAGTTTGTATTTTAATATTTATATATATATATATATATATATATTTACTATCAAAAGTAACAAAAGAAAATTAATGCAAAATGTGGTAAAAGGAAACAAATAAAAATACTAAACAAAACATTCAAAAATTTATGTAAATAAAAAAGTATACTTAAACAATACTTTTAGATTAAGACATATGTTTTTCCAATAAAACGATGTCCAAAAAAGGTTAATGATTGTTTATTAAAAATACAAAATCATAAAAGTTTCAATTAAAACTACATAGTAATCTATTAATCTACAATTATGAAACATACACTTAACATTATAAAAAAAAAATTAACTTGCGAAGTTTAACCTACTTGATCCTACGTAAAATTTAGTGGCTTAAAAGAATTTAACTTCTTTAAACGTAAATGCTTAATCTTATCTTATGGTAATGAAAAATAGCATTCAAATCACTTTAAAATTATTTTTTGTTATAAAAACTAGCTTTTTTACTGTAAATTTAATATTTATAATTTTAGTCCCATAATCAAGAAACTCTTCCTCATGAACGATTGTATCGCATCACCTCTATGTATCCAGATGATCCCAGGTCACCATTCTTTGACGAACAAGGTCGAGAAATACCTCCTCTTGCTCGCTTACACCTTAACAGGATTAACTTGATACCGAAATCCTGTTCAGACAAAATTATCACAGAATTGGTCAACGAACTGATTGTTAACGAAAACGCACAAGATATATTAAGACGTAAGTTCAAATAAAATTTAAAAAAAAAATTTTAATTTCATGAATTTTTAATATTTAGCGGAATGTACTGTTTCTAAATATTCTGAGTGGTCAGAATGTAACGTATCTTGTGGAAAAGGTCTTAGATCAAAAAGTCGGCATTATTTGAATGAAACAGCTGCTAAAATAACAAGTTGTGATAGACAGTTAGTGGCAAAAGAAATGTGTTTATCTTCAGTTCCCATATGTCCGTAAGTCATATTTTATAAAATGTTTAAGTAATTTTACTAATAACTAATATTATTATAGTACTACTTTTAACAATGTAAAAATCATTTTAATAACATAGGAGGCACAGGGTCAGTTTTATTCCAAGGTCCTTAAATCAAAACAACAAAATCTAAAATGAATTAAATATTAAAATAATTTTTTATCTAAAACTGAACAACAAATATTCAAAATTGACAAGACCATTAATTTAACGATTTTTAAACTACATAAAGTCTTGTACATTTATTTTCATGGTTTTTGAATTCGATGCGAGGCTGAGAAGATATTAATTTTACTATGATGTGTTTTTTTTATGTCTATCGCCACTTTATCAGTTCTTATCGGACTGATTTTCTTCAACGATATGTCAAAATATCATAAGTCATATCCTAGTTGAATACATTGTCTTAAAAAATTGAAAAAAATTTCCTCGTTCTCTATAAATGGAGGAAATCCCACAAAAAATTACAATTTTTAAAATCGGTATATTTCGAAAATTTTTTTCTAAAAATTGCCATAACTTATTGAAAGATGAACAAATTAAAATAATTATTTTTTATATTGAAACCTTACGTAATTCCCTTTTATTTTGATATAAATTTTTAGAAAAGCCTACCTTTTACTTGTTTACAGGATTCAAAATACCAACTTTTTAACAAAATTCATTATTTACAACTTAACTTTTGAAAATGTTTCCCCCATTTATAGGGAACGAGGGAAATTTTTTCAATTTTGAAGGGTAATGTCTTCGACTAGATACGATTTGTGATCTTTTGACGTATCGTTGAAAGAAATCCGTTCGGTGAGAGCTGAGAAAAAGTGGTAACAGACACAAAAAAAAAAAAATAAAAAAAAATAAAAAAAAAAACACATCTTAGTAAAACCAATACCTTCTCAGCTTCGCATCGAAGCTAAAAAATGTTTTCTGGCTTATCTTCTATGTGCAAATAGCCGTTGAAGTTGAACATTTTTTTTAAACATTTGATAAATAAATTTAAATTTATTAAATATTCATTCATATATTATACATATATAATATGAAACTTGAAATTAGGACATAAATAAGGAAATAGTGTATACATTTTGCTTTTAGAATAATCCACCAATTTCTTAAATTTAAACACTATCTACAGATTTGCATCTAACCATTTATACTTGTACCAACTATGCCACATCCACATTGTGCCACGACCCTATTGTGCTACCGTTTTTTTATTCAATTTTAAACATTGTTTTAAATCCTTTTTAAGTATAACAAATTTAATTAATTAGGTACACTAGATTGTACAATAACGAATCTATATGAGTCATTTTTAAATGTTGTATCATTGTAGAAATAAATAATTATTCATTTTTGTACATGGTTAAAATCTGTTATTTACGATTATTATAATCGTATATTGCGTACATTGAAAATTATATATGCACACAATACCTTTTATTTATTTATATATACCTAAGCTATGTTTGATGTATATAAAATGATATTAAAAATGTTTTGAATTAACTTGGAAATGAAACATTAATATATAGACTATATTATTTCAAATTGTTAAGTTCATCAAATCAATATTTATTTTTTAATATTCTTAAAAAATTGATTTTGACCGGCATTGCCTTAACATAGGGGTAATACCGGTTGTATCAAACTCCATTGTAATATATAATTCGAATTTAGTATAGTACAATTAAAAAATATATAATATTACAAATAAACTAATTATTAAATTAATTGTTTATTTTAAATTAATTTAATATGGTAATGCAGGTCACCTAGATGATTTTTGATATAACTCAAAAGTTTTTTGTCTAAATATTTTGGAATCAAAAGCATATTAACGAAGCATTAATATGTTGATTATATCATGTTAATGCTACCTACTAGTTTATTAAATTAAAAATTTTTGTTAACAAAAATCTATAATAATGATTGATAATGTTCGGTATTACACTTTGATAATGACTATTCATTTTTTAAAAAAAAAGTTAAAAATATGTAAAATTTGACTATTTTGAATTTTTTTTAGTATTTTAAATATGTTATAAACAAGTGTGTCAAAACAGAAGGTTTAAAAAAGGAAAATTTTTTTTAATTGTTTTGAACCTATAACATACAATGTGATATTAGTAATAATTTTGAGGGATCAAGGTATGTGGACTGAAACAAAAAAACGTCCTTAAGCAACAGATAAACAAAGATATACAGATAATAAAAAACCCTTATAAACTAAGAGTTGGTGTTTGAGAAGGTTTTTGTATTTCCTGTATTTTAAGGACTTAATTGCATTTGACTGATTATATTTTTCACACATAAATTAGAAGTTTGTAGAACTTAGTGTTATATTTTTTAGGGTTTTAAAGTTATTTATATTGAAGTAATTGAAAATTTAAATTATATAGTTGATTTTCATTTAATAAAATTAATTTTGCATAGTTAAATTAATTAAACATTTTTAAATTCTAGAGGGGAAACTGAACAAGAAGACGATAGTTTATTAATGGATGACTCCAAATGTAACACAACAGATTGGACTCCTATGTCAGAGTGTTCAGTATCTTGCGGTATTGGTTTTATGATGCGTACCAGACAATTTTTAGATCATTCTAGTTACAAGAAGTGCAGACACATTAGTTTAGTCATGAAGAAGAAATGCATGATGCCTGCGTGTACTAAAACTGCCGAAGAGGTGATGAATTCATTGAATCTTTATTGAATTTTTTAAAGCGTTATGAATTTTTTATTATAGACAAATATCATTTCTGAGTGCCCAGTAACTGAATGGAGCACGTGGAGTCCCTGTAATGTCAACTGCGGCCAAGGCATATCAGTTAGGTCAAGACTATTGTTAGTGTCTGGCGAAAACTTTACCAACTGTTTGGAAAGTGTTGTATTGGAAGAAACCAAACCCTGCATAGGTATTAGACCTACGTGTGAAATTACATCTTCCTTAGCCAAAGGTAAATTGACAACTTATGTGGTTTATAGTTATGACTATTTGGTTTTAATAGTTATTATAATGACCATCTAATTTATTTTCTTATGGTAAAATATCTGAAAAATATTTCCATTCATTAAAACTAATAGCAATCATATTTTATCATTTCACATTAACTTTTTTATATAAACACCAAAACAATGATATGTTTTAATGTTTTTATATGTGCTTTTGGTTCAATATTAGTGTTGCTCTAAAACTTTTTGCGAAATTGTCAATTCTTTGTTAAAAATCAGTTTTAAACCTCAACTTACTTAAAAACGAACATTCTAAATGATTAGGAAACACACATGGGAAAGAAAATTGAATATTTTTCAGCTAATTGAATATATTTTAATTGTTGTTTATTTACTTACTTATTTGTTAAAGTAAATTATATTCTACTTACGACAATCAGACGTCACACTTGACTAGAATTATTATTAAAATACAGACCTTCGCAGTGTCATATCCGAGTAGCTTAACCTTAACTAATTCATTCGCTATTCGGTGAATATAAATAATATCGAGTTATTTATATTATTTATTGATGACACAATTATAACTTAAAACTAGTTTTATAATTTATTAAATAAATAATTTTTATATTCTTGGTAAATAATTATTTTGTTATTAATAATAAAATAATAAAAAAAACTTAACATAGAGTATAATGTATAAAAAATTGTAGCTACTAGTTTCGGTCGTGCAACATCATCATGTTACTGATAAAAATGCAAGGCTGGGCATTAACGAGTAATTAATTCAAAGTTACGTTAAACCTTTTAGATTAACGAAGATGTTTAGATTTTACGTTAATTTAATTTATCATTTATTTATTTTACAACTAATTAAAGTATTTTATTTGGTATTTTTTGTGTTTAGTTTATATGTTTATTTTGTTTTTGTTAAAAAATTTAAATACTACAAAAAAAAAATTTATCAGTGTAAAAAATATTCTAACAAACATTTGTTGAACCAAAAATATCACTTAGGTCCTTTAAGTAAATGCCTATTCACTTACTCTTAAATGCAAAACCAGTAGATGTTCATTAATTAAATAACTCCTATTTTTCTACAATATACATGTGTATTTAATCTATTCTACTATGAATATAATCTTTTTTAAACACCAAAGAAATCACATTAGATGTTTATCTAGTAAAATGTTAAATGCGTAGGGGAAGACTTCATTTTCAAAAATTTGAATCATCTTCTCACAAATGAAAATTAGAAATATAAAAATTATATAATTATTCCAAATATTTTTACTACCCTAAGCTTATGAAATGTTTACTAAATTACTATTTCTTGTATTAACTTATTAAATAAACTCGTTAAAATAATGAAATTTTATCATTTTAATTTAACTTTATTTTTTTTACAAAAAATAACTGATTAAATCATTGTCTTTTTTCTATTAAATTAATTTTAATAATTTGAAACATTTATTAATTTGCTTTAATTTAATTTGTGAAAATGAAATAAAATTTTCATGAACTATTAAATACACAAAAATAATAAAAGGTGTAAAATTAAAAAAAAAAAAAATTAGTAAATTAAATTGCACCATAATTTTGAAAAAGTATCAAGTATAAAAGTAAAACAAGTTTTATTTTACTTATTTACTGAGCCTTCACCAGACGCTGTTGACTACGAATGGATACGCTCATTTTTACAGCAGTAAAAAGCATAGTGTAAAACAAATTAAAAAGTCATTGCAAATAACCTTTTCTTTAGTTTACACTACTTCAACGGTAATAAGCAATGTCAAGTCAACTTTTTGTTTGAAAAAAAAAAATTGTATTTTTAAATCTTACAATTTCTTTTACCTACGACGTAATAGTCGATCGAAATGGGAATTTTTGTGATGTGATTATACAGGGTGTTCAGTAAGTCAGGAAACGGGTTTCTATTGTTCTCATTGTTTATAACAATTGACCTGTTTCCATACTTACTGAACACTCTGTATAAAATATATTAAATCAATTTTCTATAAAAGGCGTTTGAAGAAACTTCTAAAATTAATTATTTATAATTAATTACTCCATATGCATTAAAAGATTTACTAATATTATTATTATTATTATTATTAGAAATTTGTAGTATGGATAAAAATGAAGGAGCTTGCAATCTTGAAACTGTAAGATATTACTATGACAGAAATTCAAGAAACTGTCTTCCATTCAAGTATAGAGGTTGTCGTGGAAATGAAAATAATTTCAAAAATGCGAAGGAATGTAGAAATGTTTGCAAAAATGTTTTTTAATGCAGACATACGTACCAATTTTTTTTCATTGAAACTTGTTTAAGTTTTGTAATTTTTTATATTACCTTTTTATAATAATTTCTCAATTTTCTATAACAAATTTAAGTATAGTAATTAATTAAGTAATACATTTAAAAAATATTAATTTATACAGCTACATTAAAAAAAATACAAAATTCACATTTTAAGGTGATTTATAACGATTTCTTTAAAATATGTTCCTTTTTAATCATTCTCCTAAAAAACATTTAACTTTAAAGTTGTCAATAACTTAATACTTATTATCTTACAACATACAAGTTGTAGCAATATCACAGAATCCATAAAATATTTTCTTTAGTAATATTACTAGGATGAAACTTTTGGTATTATTTAGTAACATCGGGTAATTGAATAAAATTACTCAGACTTATGCAATTGAATCCTGATTCTTACGTACCGATAAACATATTTTACTAATTTTCAATTGACCTATATAAGTAGTTTTTTATAAAATATATTATGAAACCATGAAACTTTCAATCGGGTATGGAATATTTGTTTAGAGTGGCTAAAATAATGATTTCATATTATTGTGTCTGTGGTAGGGATTGCCCAGAAATTGAAAAATCACGAACTGTTCATAAATGGATATTAACATTAAAGATTAACATTCATAAGTTAAATATCTTTTGGACAAACTGTATTTATTTTTATATAATTATGTTAATAAGGAACTAAATACAATTAATATCAGTCATTAATTAGTTTGAAACAACGTTCTAGTAATATACAGTATTGAAATTATCAATGTAAATTTCTAAAATTTAAAAATTATGGACATATGGAAACTTGCAACTTAATGAATAAAATTGTTTTTATTTTTTTGATGTATATAGATTTTTATTTTTATTGATGTGTAATAGTAATATTAAAACATGTACTTCAGAGTGTACAGATATGCATAAAACAAAAATACTTATCTATAACTAGTACAAAAAAACTTTTAATTATGGTTTAATTAAGATATTATAATAGATTTATTTCATAATGAATAGTACATTTAAAATACTACATATATAATACGAAATTGCGTGGTATAATTAATAATTTACTTTTTAAAAGCATTTGAACAAAAAGTGACGTAAAGGAATCCCCTTAAAAATTGTCATAAAGTAATTAAACTAATTTAAACTCCTTAAGCATTTTCCTAAAACTAGTTTAATATCGTTAACTGCATAATACAGTATTCGTGTTTACACAAATATTAAATATATATATATATATTATAAATTAAATGTGAAAGTAATCTGTATTTAATGAAGTGCTTAAGTTCTCAGAAGCATTGATTAATCATCTCTATGATTTCTAAAAGATCATTTTAAAAATAATTAAAGTACATAAGGAAGTAGACAGAAAATATTAATTAGTTATGAAGGACAACTAAGTCATTCGTTAGAGTAACGATTAATTAAGAATGTTGCAAAAATAAAAGATTTAATTACTATTAAAACACCTAAGAGTAAATATGAATAAAATATTGAATAAGGGGAACTATCCAATGAAAAACAATATTTCCTTTGATAGATTATAAATTAATACGTGTAATTTAAAACATTTTTTGTAAGCTTGACAAGTTTGGGTTTATCTCTCTACTTAGGGACAATACTCTTTTTAATAATAATTCTAAGAATACCATTTTGAATCATTATATCAAGATTAATAATTATGTTATATTTTATTTATTAAAAAAATACATTACTTATGCAAGAGAATTAAAAACGTTGCTCAAAAATTTAAAATATTCATATTTTGCATTTCAATAATTTTTTTACAAAGTATTCCTTAATATGTTATAAATTACTAAAACACCGAATACATATTCTTAAAAAAATAATTTTTACATAAAAATGTTGGAATTTAGTAAATGTGCATTTCTCTATATAAATTGCATAATATATTAGTAGACTTATTAATATTTTTTTTACGTTAAATAAGGATTTTAATAAGTATTCCCAGGATATTCAGGAAAGTATCCTGTTCAAGTATGTAATTATAGTTTTGTAAAAAAAATTATCAGCTCTTAAATGAATAATTTAGTAACTATAATAACAATGTTGTTTATAATGTTAATTCAATCTTTGTTCCTAAACTCGACCAATATACAAACATATTTAGTAGAGACAACTATTGATTAAGTCATACGAATAATAGGTGTTCTAGTTTGTCTAAATCTTTGCTATGTGTCTGTAATTTAACAGTATACATAAAATATGAGAGTATTCAAATTTAAGATTTTTACCAACTCTAAAATTTTGTTTAAGAGCATCTTCTCCTCACATTCAAATAATAAAAAAAATATTTTTATAATTTTTCAAAAGTTAATTTTATTAACTTATTATAATTATTACTGTATAGTTTATTAGATAAATTAGCACTGTTAAATTGAAATTGTACACCTGTGATATTTATTTGATCGAATATTTACAGTTAAAATAAAAGTAATATCTTTCTTTTCGCCAACATCTAACGTCTAAGTACAAAGTTAGTTATTTTATTAGTAAAATATGAATTTTTTAACTAATATATTGTTCAATATTTTTGAAAAAGTTCAAGGTTAAATAACAAAACTTATATTATTTAGGATTTTATTTATTTATTATGTTCATAATGTTTCAAAAAAACGTAATTATTATGATATTAATAATTGTATGATTTTTAAGCCCCTCATTACATTGGTCAAAGTTTAAATTTTCATAAAAATAACGTCGTCGGCACGAACTTTAGATAAAATGGATTGGACACATTCAGATCGGCAGGAAAGAGGAGTGCGATCCGGTTTTGTTATTGAAATTGTATAGAAGGAGAAATATTTGGTGAGCAGTTAGCTATAGCAACAAACATTTTTAGAATAAAACATTTTAAAAACGGAGTGGTGGGATCTGGGAAATACGTATAAAGTAACAGATGGCATTCATTTTAATTTTTCCTTTTTATCAAATTATATAACAAAATCGGATCGCCCGATAAGGTGAATATTATAATAAGTCGTGTTCGTCGGTAAAGTATTGTCAACGAATATTTTGTAATGATCCATCCGTTTTCAAAAAAATTATTTCAATATAGAGTACAGTTTACAGTTATTAGCAAGTTAATGACACATTTTAAACTATTTTATCAATAAGGACATGTGCGTTGGTTTTTGAAATTAGATTACTTTTTTAATAATTAGTTAAAATAATTAATGCTCTATATTTTTACAAAAATTTAATATATACTGAATTGTGAAAGGTGCTATAATCAATTTAAAAAGGATGTCAGTAAAATGAGTTAAATAATTGTCTGATTTGAATAATATTAGTTTTTATAGAAGAATAAAGATGCTAATAACTGTATTATAATTAATTTAAAAGTACATTTAAAATAAAGTAATAATTTTATTAAAACAATCTATTATTTAAAAATAAAGTATCTAATAAATAAGTATTTTGTGATCAAATTTACACGAATTTTGAAAGCATAATTCGAATTCTACATAGTTTGATTTGGACTGAATCGAACTAGATCACGGTTTGCTTCAATCCGGTCTAAAAAAAAAAAAAAAAAAATCAATAATATCAAATATAACAATGTAAAAATTGTTACTTTTACATTTTAAACATTTTTTTTCGAGTATTTTTCTATTATTGTTTTATTAGTGTAAAAAATATTTAAAAAAAGAATTTGTTGAGCCAAAAATATTACTTGGGTCCATTAAGTAAATTCCTATTCAAATATATCATTCACTTACACTAAGATGTAAGATACGTTGACATAGATTTAAATTTAAATAATGTTCAAATATTAAAAATATATTTTAGAAAAATAAACTACTTATTTTTAACTATATGTATAAGCAAAATATAATTCAGTATATATATATATAAATTCAAAAATAATTCAATTACACAGACGCAGTATTATTAATTTTTTTGTGACCATTAAATTTAATCACCAAAAAAACATTTTTTTTATTACTCTTTGATAATAAAAATCTATAATTTTGTAACTACAAGCAGATCATCAAAAATCTCATAATTAAAATTTTTAGATTCTCTAAAAAATAATACCTCTGATAACATAACACGATAGTCAAATTTATTTTAACATGAATGACAATAACTATTTTTTAACATTTTATACTATTTATTTATTAATTTTGACTTTTGTATTTTATCTCTGCGTTTTTTAGTTTTGATGCGAAGCTGAGAAAGTATTTGTTTTACTATGATGTGTTTTTTTTTGTGTTTGTTACCATTTTTTCTCAGCTCTCACCGAACCGATTTCTTTCCGCGATATGTCAGAAGATCACAAATCGTATCTAGTCGAAGACATTACCCTCAAAAATTGAAAAAATTTCCCTCATTCCCCATAAATGAGGGAAACCTCCAAAAAAATTACAAATTTAAAAATCGGTCAATTTCGAAATTTTTTAAAAATGACCAAATCAAAATAATGTTTGTTTTTAGAGATGCTAAATGTTTTAACCTATCATTTTGTATATTTTTTTTTATAAATTTGACCCTTTACCTGCCTACAGGAGGGGATTTAAAATGACAACTATTTTACAAAAAATTAACTTTTTCCACTTAACTTTTGAAAGTGATTCGGAAACTTTGACATTTTTGTATATATCTTAAATTAAAGCTAATGTAATATACTTAATTATGAAAAAAAAATTCGGACTTTATTTTGTCTTCACGGCGAAAATGGCTACCGAATTTTTTTTTTGTGTGAATATTCTCGATTTTATTTTTTACATTTTTAACTTTATAATGCTATAACTTATTGAAAAGTGTATGGATCAACAGAATTTTTTTTTTTTTGAGAAATAATATTTATATCCCTTTTTCATTCGACATACTTTATCTTAATCAGGATATTAAAAAGGAAATAGCAAATCATGTAGCTTTTGGAATAATCAACCAATTTATTAAAATTAAACACTATCTAAAGATTTGCATTGAAGCGTTTTTTTTTATAGTGATTTTAATCACTGTCAGATATCATTATACTTGATCTAACTATGCCACGTCACCACTGTGCCGCGACCCTCCTGTAATGGGTTTTTTTCTAATAAGTTAGTTATCATTTGTTATCATATTGTAAATTGATGATGAAGTTATTTGAAACTAGTTACTATTAATTTTTTAATACTTAATGTAATTAATTCATAAAAATTAAAACTAAAATTTGTATTTTTTAATTAAATTTTTTTTATATTATACAAAGAGTGTCTACGATGTCAATATTAATATAATTTCAAATTATAAGTGTAGTATTAATATTTATAAGATTAGATTATAATTACATACGAAAAATATAATAATGGTAACATTTTTGGTAAATGGGTTCAGCAGTAATGGAACCTTTTCTATAGTAAAAAAATAATAATATTAATAATAGTTATGAAATTGCAATATTTATGTACATAATTTACACATTTGATAATGTCCTTGGCATCATGATAATTTTTTATGAATCCATGTCGAGTACTTATAAAATAAAAAATAGCTGTAGATGAACTATTTTTAGCTTTTATGGGAAACTTAGTATTTGGTATTGGTATTATAATAATGTGTATTTATTTTTTAAGTCTATCCACGAAATTGATCAAATTTTATGAACAATATGCCAAAAAATCTGATTTTAATCTAATTAAATTTATCAGCGCTAAAAATGGAAAAAACCTCTATTTTAGAAAATAACAAATATATCTCAAATTTATGCAACTGTAAAAATTGTCGTTTTCAAAATAAATTTTTTGCATTTTAAAATTACTCAACTTTTTTTTTTTTTTAAACTGATACAAATTTTATTATAACAGAGTTTACTAGAAACAATAAAATTAATTTTGGTATGCTTTAAAAATTCCATGAGAAATCAAACTCATTCAAACATTTTTTTCAACTCAATTTTTAAAAATATAAAAAATAATAATTGCTCTGACAATTGTTCTACTTTGAAAAATGGGCCGAAAAATGAAAAAAATTAGCAAAAAATAAAGTTATGTTATTTTCATTCAAGGAAATAATTAAATAAATATTTAATGTTTGATTGAAATTTTAAAACAAAAATATTAAAACAAAAATATTAAAATTAAAAATATAAATTGTTAAATTTAACATTTGCATTGTACCGTTTTTTATGACGATGATGTTAACCACTGTTAGATGATTTCTAATAGTAAATATTCTATCTATACCACGACCCTATTGGTTGTTTTTTTTTATATTAAATTTATTTGAAAAACTGAGATTTATTGTCTTATTTCTAGTAAAATTTTGTAAACCCTTATTCTTAATTATTTAAAATTTAGTTTCAAGATTATATTTCTTAAGGCATTGAATTACTTCTAAATTATTTCAGTCCTAAGGTTATTGTCTAAACTATAATGTATACAATGTATATTAAGTTTTATGTAAGTTACTTAATTTACAATTTACCACGTCTTCTATAGGAAACACTACATGTGATTAACGGTCTTTTATTTTCGAAGCAATTAAAATGGTTATGCTTTTTTGTGAATAATTAATTTTTAAATTTATTTAAAAATTTAATATATTTTTTTATATAAATAAAAATTCGGCATGTAAAATAAATATAAAATAATATGATCTTAAATTATAATTTTATTTAGTATTATTTCCTACTAATTACTTATAATAGCGATGAGTAATCTCTACCAATGACTTTTGTGGTCTAATTAAATAGATATCTCATGATTCTTTATACGATAAATGTAAAATAATTATCGAAAAGAAAATATTATCCATTAATTCGTAGGGAAATGGAGGTCTTGATCTGAAATTAATATTCAAAACTAGCCTCTGTCCTAAACAACTAGATGGTATATAAGCTACGGAGGACATGAAATCGTTTTGAGTGTTCAGTGCGATCACACACCATTCAAATGGTATACAAGGCAACCTTTAAAAATTGACTGCGTTTAATTTTAGTACTAGTAGCTTTAATAAAGCTACCAAATATTCTTGTTTGTTATTACTTTTGTGTAAATTATTAACTTTTTAGTACAGAAGCAGAATCAGTATTTGTAAGAAACATGTAAGTGTTAATATTTTGTTAATTTTTATAATAGTTTCCAGAGTCATTTTCTTAAAAATAGTGGCATCTATTTATTTTTGTACTCAATATTAATGATAAGGATATTCGTATGTACTTTAGACCTTATCATTAAAATCGTTATATACTTTTTTACCCAGTAAATATTGAAAAATACATACATACAAATTAATAAAACAATTAGTTTGATAAGTTTTTTAAGTAAATATTATGATTAGTGACAAAAAGTCTTAATAAAATTCAATGCATAGATAATGTCCAACTTACAACACATTATGATTAAATAAAATAAAATTATTGTTATTAAATTAAATTACATTAATTAAATACAATTAAAATTGTCTTGTTGAATTTTATGTGAATCTTATGAAATAATTTTTTTAATTTTTAAAATTTCCATACATTCAAGATTTATTTTGAATGATTTCAGTCTTGTACTCAGTGGTTGATACAAGTTACAAGTAGTTACAGATTTTTAGTTATTTCTGTTTTCTTTTTGTAAATACCAAATCATAGATTTATGATTTTTACTAACAAAAATAGAGAAAAAAGGGCAAAATCTTAATTTTACCTTTTCCTTTTGAATACATACAATGACAGAATAAATATCAAGATTTTAAAGTAAAGTAAATCTGTAATATATGGTTGATATTAAGCTTACTCCTCAGAAGAAAAATATAACTAGTTATATTTAATAATTATCATATTATTTTATATATTTATTAACCAAATATAGGGGTTTATTGAATTTCTATGAACCTATTAAAAATTAGTACGTCTTTAATTTAATTTAGGCGATCGCCTAAACTTTAAATGGCTATATTTTATCAATTGAATAAATCTGATGATATAAAAAGTTAGGGTTCTCATTTGAAATCCAAAGTAATACAAAAAACGATAATTTATATTTTATTATTGATTTATTTATTATTAATTGACATAGGAAGATATTTTTAATTTTTCTTACATTTAATAAGTTTAAAAATAAAATTTTATATAAATTCGTTGAAAATAAATTTTAACAAAAAAATATGATAAATCTAGAACAATAAATTTAGTGAGTTTTTGGTTTCCCTCGCCTATATTATTTATCTAACACATTTTTTTTGTATATCCTTAATAAACATAATAAAATAAATGTATTAAAAATATTATTTTTAAATTCGTAAGAAGGTGATGTCAAATTTATTTAGCCTTTAATTTATTTAAGTCAGTAGCTAGATCTCATTAGTTATAATAAATTCCAAACAACATAAAAAAATATTAGTCAAATTCATTATGACTAAAATAAGTGAATCATTAGATAATTATGGAACTTTCAAGATTTCATAGAAAATTTTTAACGTCCTCCAAATTTAACTAGTAGGTTTAACATAATAAATTAAAGACATTATTACTCTTAATTCTTTGTATCGAGCAATTGTTATTATAATGGATAGTATGAAACAATTATGTAGTACTATAAATTGTTATATAATATAATGCGTGGACCAAAACAAAAAAAACAATTCTTAATAGGTACATGACTAATTACTAAGTATGACAAACAGTTTAATAGGAATTTAGTTATTATAATTTTTAAAAATTAACGTATCCGGGATAAAATTATGCTTAACTTTAATTTGTATTTGCGCATGAATATATACATATATATCCTTAGTCCAAAAAAATGAGTGTCTTACACATTTTCATGGGAATTATTGGAAATATAAAATATTGTTTGATTTAAAAAAATTTTATATTTAAATATGTTGGATACACATCGGTCGAATGTGCTGTCAAGAAATTGTGTGTTGTAATTACTGATGTTATCGTTGTGCTACATCGAGATGTTGTCGGTCTTCTGCTGCATTACCGCCGCCATCTTAGCGTTTTTAGATATAAGCTCTATGGTACTAGCGATCCATAGAGCTTGCGAGTAGTTAAATTATTTTTTTTTAACAGTTAAAAAATATAAACTTTTAATTTTTTTAGTTTGATCATATGATAGAATAACAAATTTCGAAAAAATTGTTCTTATAAAATTTTTTATATGATGAACCGTTCATCTGTTTCTACTTTTCAAAATTTAGCAATTATTGACCAATGTTCTATTGATAATTTCCTGTTTAACTACAATAATTATGATTTCTTTGTGCAGTGCATAAAACAGCTTTTATTGAAATTTTTGTTTCATATCTAACTATAACTTAAGATAGCAAAAATGGATACCGACAATAATTTATGGCTCATTGAAAATAGAATTTTTATTGTCATTTGTATTATGAAAACCAAATTAAGGATGTATTTTTATTTTAAATTCAAATCTGTAAACAAACCTGTAAATAAATAAAAACAATCAGTTGATTAGAGAGAAAAAAAATTATATGAACTTAATAGTCTGTAATTTTTTTTTTATTATATTTTTAAACTAAAAATAGGTGTTTCTACTAAAGAAATTTAAAGTTTAGGTTTTTTATCCCTGAAAGAATAATAAAAAATAAAATTATTTAACTATATATAATTGTATAGTTTGTTGATTAAAACATAATTTTTCTTTGCAAACATTTGCATGATTTTAATAGTTTCTAATTATTGAGTGTCTTGTCAGTCCCTCTCTCTCTAAGTTTTGTTTAAGGTTGTTGTTATTATAATTCAATTTAAATATAAATTTCTCTATTCATAAATAAATAACATTCAGACTTCTGCATTTTTTTACATTAACATATATTAGTATTATTGTTAGCACTCCTCTGTTATTATAGTTGAATTAAGCGCAAGGGGTAGATTAAGTTTTACTAAGGTAATAACCTTAGCATAAAATTCATAACATTTAAGCATCAGTGCGAAACTGAGAAGATATTAATTTTACTAAGATGTGTTTTTTTTTGTGTCTGTTACCACTTTTTCTCAGCTCTCACCGAACCGATTTCTTTCAAAAGATCACAAATCGTATCTAGTCGAAGACATTATCCTAAAAAATTGAAAAAATGTACCTCGTTCCCCATAAATGGAAGAAATCTCCAAAAAAATTACAAATTTAAAAATCGGTCAATTTCGAAATTTTTTAAAAATGATCAAATCAATATAATTTTTTTTTATAGATGCATAATGCCTTTACTTATTATTTGATATATATATATTTTTAGCTTCGATGTGAAGCTGAGAAGGTATTGGTTTTACTAAGATGTGTTTATTTTTTTTTGTGTCTGTTACTACTTTTTCTCAGCTCT